CTTAACATCTATTTATATTTTGCCCTTCTTTTTAAGCATTTTTATGACTACTTTCACATATTGCCTTGTTTCAAACTCACAGCACTTTTTTGATAGAATTTTTATTTTTTAAGTATCGTATTTTTTTTTTTTTCCCACACAAATATTTTGACTTCTTAATTAGATTACAGGGGCAGGGACCAAGCTTTATTTTCTTTTGTTCTCTTCAGTGTGCCTATGGCAAAGCTAACACACAGGAAGATATCAGTATAAACTGAATGATTAATTAGCCTATTCAACAAAAAGTTTTGAAAGAAATTTTATTATCAAAGCCTTATAAATGAAGTAAATTGTTTGATGGTGTGAATCATGTTTCAGTCTGATAAGGCTGATAACATTTATAGATCTCATGAAATACTTTTATTTGGTAATCTAAAATGCACAGTTCTTTACATTTCATTTTGAATTTGAATTCACCTATTGTATTTTTATTTATTCTTTATATACATCTTATGAATCACTTTGTGGTCATTTACTTATTTTATATAGAAAATATTCCGTCCTTTATGCTTCCATCCCCTTTTCATATCTTATTTCTTCTGATACATGTTGGGAAACAATCACTTGTTTGTCCTTTACTCTTAATGATCAGGTGCTATACTGGACAGATGACTCCAAAGAATCCATGATTGGTAAAATTAGGGTCAGTGGAAATGTCACAACCAAAAACATCACAGGGCTGAAAGCAAATACTGTCTACTTTGCTTCTGTGAGAGCTTACAATACTGCTGGGACAGGGCCGTCAAGTGCCCCTGTCAATGTCACGACCAAAAAGTCTCGTAAGTACACATCATACTCTAGTTACCAAGGTTCATCTATAAATGCAAACATATTTCTTTGCTCAATCTCCCTTTCTGTCTTCCCATCTTATCATTATGTTGCATTAGTTGTTTGATTAGTTGGCCTGTCCTTTAAATGTAGATAATTGCTGAAGTCTGGTAATAGTCATATAAACTAACTAACTCATTTTAGAATCCTCAAAGAAGGAGGTTTCTGTAGATGAAAGGTACAAGAGTGTATTGTTTAGGATAATCGTCTCTGATACCCGCCCCTAATATGAGTTCAAAAGCTGGGCTTTCATCCTGGGAAACTTAGATGGCTATTTTATCTTTCAGAGTTTGTTTCCTCAGCTGTAAAATGAGGTAAAAATATTACCTATATATATCCTCTGGTGGCGTAGTGCCTAAGGTATTTGACTGTTGACCAGAAGACTGACAGTTCAAACCCACCAGCCACTCCTCGAGAGGAAGATTGGGCAATCTACTTCCACAGTGATACTGCCTCAGAAACCCAAGGAGGGGTCACTATGAGTTGAAATTGATTCCATGGCAATGAGGGTTTTTTTTTGTTTGTTTTTTTGGCATATGTGCTCATACTCAGGATTGGAAGAGATAATTAATAGAAAACACCTAGTACATGGCTTAGTAAGTGCTCTGTAAATGTTTATTGTTGTTAATTTTATAATCATTATATAGTACTATATTGTAGCCTGATGTAATCCTAGTACTGAGCCATATCTATATCTTTTTTTCGAGGATGTTTTGTCACCACAATTTACCTGGAAGATCGTCCAACACAAGAATTAACCTTCTGCTACATTATATCCCCCTTAACTATCAGCCAAGTGCCTTTAATATAGGCAGCATCTTCTAAATAAAAGATGAATGGTGGATTGTTGCTGATTTTGACCTCCTGATTGAGTGGGGAATTGCACAAACATTCTGCAATATGAGGCACAATAATAGAGAAAGGTCTGATTAGATGTGAAAGGTCTGATTAGTAATAGCTGAAAAATATACTTCTGATGATTGCATAAATTTAACATATTATTTATATTTTGTAGACCAAACTAAATTATTAATGTTAGTAGATTTCAGTCTATGAATTCTGATGAACAAAGAGTATGTTCATTTATATTTGAAAAAGACTAAGACATGAATGGGAAGTCCTTGGGTGGTATGGATGATTAACACACTCAGCTGCTCACTGAAAAGTTGAATGTTCAAGTTTGCTCAAAGGCACTTCTGAAGAAAGGGCATGTGATCACCTTTGAAAAATCAGCCATCTAAAACCCTATTCTACTTTGATACACATAGGGCCCCCCTTGGATTTGACAGAAAAGAGCAGCAGCCAGGGATCCAGATAAGGGGAGGGACACAGGCCCCACCTCCACTAGCCAGGAAAGTGGGGGATAGAGAAGCCAGAGGGGAGGACAGAACAGAGCAACAGCCAAGGAACCAGGTAAGAAGAGGGACCCAGACACCACCCCCACTAGCCAGAAAAGCCAAAGAAAGATAACCCAGAGGGTACAACAGAGCAGAGCATCAGCCAAGGATCCAGGTAAGGTGAGGGACCCATCCCCAACCCCCATAAGCCAGAAAAGTAGGGGAAAGAGAAGCCAGGAGGACTTAAAGCAGAGCAGTGCCAGGGATCCAGGTAAGGGGAGGGTAGAGAGGTTTCGAACAGCTAAGCAAGATAAACTTGTCTTCAGTTTGTTGCACTATTGTGGCTTATGTGTTGCTTTGAGGCTTGAGGTTGTGCCACTGGTGTTTGAAGTGCCATCAGAGTTACACATGGTACACAGGTTTCAATGCAGCTTACAGACTGAGAAAGACTAGGAAGAAGGAAAAGACCATCCACTTCTAAAAGAATTGGCCAGGGAAAACCTATGAATAGCAGAGAAACACTGTCTGATACATTACTGTGCAACTTTATGAATAGTCTGGAAACATCAGATACAGTGCAGTATAACAAGCCCCTTAGGTCAGAAGGCTTTCAAAATGCGGCTAGGAAAGAGCTACCTCACCAAAGTAGAACCAGCCTTACTGATATAGATAAAATAAAAGTTTCAAGACCTTAATTTGCTGACATGGCATGACTCCAATTGAGGGGAAACAAATGCAAATATCCATTAATAATAGGAACATGAAATGTACAAAGTATGAATGTAGGAAAATGGGAAGTTGTCAAAAATGAAATGGAACACATAAAGATTGATATCCTAGGCATTAGTGAACTGAAATGAACTAGTTTGGGCCATTTTGAATCAGATAACTATATGATCTACTATGCTGGGAATGACAATTTGAAGAGGAATGGCATGGCTTTTATCATCACAAAGGATGCTTCAAGATCTGTCCTGAAGTACAATGCTGTTGGTGATAGGAAAATATCTATACACCTACAAGAAAAACCAGTTAATATGACTATTATCCAAATTTATGCACCAACCACCAAAGCCAAAGATGAGGAAATTAAAGACTTTTATCAATTTCTGCAGTCTGAAATTGACTGAATGTGCAATCAAGATGTGTTAATTATCACTGGTGACTGGAATTCAAAAGTTGGAAACAAAAAAGAATCACCAGTAGTTGGAAAATTTGGTCTTGGTGACAGAAATGATGCTGGAGATCACATGAAGGAATTTTGCAAGACCAACGACTTATTCATTACAAATACCTTTTTCAACAACACAAAGGGTGGCTATACATGTGGACATCACCAGATGGAGTACACAGGAATAAGATTGCCTACATCTGTTGCAAGAGGGGATGGGAAAGCTCAGTATCTTCAGCCAAAACCAGGTCAGAAGCTGATTGTGGAACAGACCATCAATTGCTCAAATGCAAGTTCAAATTGAAGTTGAAGACAATTAAAACAAGTCCACAAGAGCCAAAATATAATCTTTAATATAGCCTTCCTGAATTTAGAGACCATCTAGAGAATAGATTTGATGCATTGAACACCAATGACTGAAAACCAGAAGAACTGTGGGATGACATCAAGAACATCATCCATGAAGGAAGCAAGAGGTCATTATAAAGACAAGAAAAGAAGAAAACACCAAAATGGATGTCAGAAGAGACTCTGAAACTTGCCCTTGAATGGAGAGTAGATCAAGCAAATGGAATAAATGATAATATAAAAGAGCTGAACAGAAGATTTCAAAGAGCAGCTTAAGCAGACAAAGCCAATTACTAAAATGAAATGTGCAAAGTCCTTGAGTTAGAAAACCAAAAGGGAAGAACATGCTCAGCATTCCTCAAGCTGAAAGAACTGAGGAAAAAAAATAAGCCTTGAGTTGCAATATTGAAAGATTCTATAGGCAAAACAACGAATGATGCAGGAAGCATCAAAAGAAGATGGAAGGAATACACAGAGTCACTGTCCCAAAAACAACTAGTCAATGTTCATCCATTTCAGGAGGTGGCATATGATTAAGAACTAATGGTAGAGAAAGAAGAAGTTGAAGCTGCACTAAAGGAAATGGCAAAGAACAAGGGTCCAGGAATTGACAGAATACCCACTGAGATGTTTCAACAAATGGATGCCCCACTGGAGGCACTCACTCGGTTATGCCAAGAGATTTGGAGGACAGCTACCTAGCCAACTGATTGGAAAAGATCCATATTTGTGCCCATTCCAAAGAGAGGTGATCCCACAGAATGTAGAAATTATTGAACAATATCATTAACATCACACACAGTAAAATCTTACTGATGATAATTCAAAAACAGTTGCAGCAATATATTGACAGAGAACTTCCAGAGGTGCAGGCTAGTTCAGAAGAGGATGTGGAACAAGGATATTATTGCTGATGTCAGATGGATCTTGGCTGAAAGCAAAGAATACCAGAAAGATGTTTACTTGTGTTCTATTGACTATGCAAAAACATTTTATTGTGTGGATCATAACAAATTGTTGGTAACATTGAGAAGAATGGGAATTCCAGAACACTTAATTGTACTCAAAAGGAATGTGTACATGGACCAGGAGTTTCTCAATTGAACAAAACAAGGGGACACTGCATCTTTTAAAATCAAGACGGGAGTGTATCAGTGTTGTATCCTTTCACCATACTTATTCAATCTATATGCTGAGCAAATAACCTGAGAAGCTGGACTATATGAAGTAGAATGTGCCATTAGGACTGGAGGAAGGCTCATTAACAACCTGCAATATGCTGATGACACAACTTTCCTTGCTGAAAGTGAGGATGACTTGAAGCACTTACTGATGAAGATTGAAGACTACAGTCTGCAGTGTGTATTACATATCAATATAAAGAAAAAAAAAAATCTCACAACTGTAACTATAAGCAACCTCACAATGAATGGAGAAAGGATTGAAGTTGTCAAAGACTTCACATCGCTTGTCTCTATAATCAATGTCAATGGAGGCAGCAGTCAGTATCCATGGAGACGGATGTCATGCTGGTAAGGTGGAGAGTCGACAAAGGAGGGGAAGGACCTCAATGAGTTGGATTGACACAGTGACTGCTGCGATGGGCTCAAGTATAGCAGGGATCATGGAGCTGGCGCAGGACAGGGCAGTGTTTCATTCTGCTGTGCATAGGGTCGCGATAAGTCAGAGACAACTCCATGGCACCTAACAACAACACCAACATAGATTTGAAATTGACTCACTGGCAACTGGTTTGCTTTAAGACAGGAATGGATCGCCACTAACAGAGAGGAAAAACACACCTTGACTAGGAAAGCTGTATTCGTATTTCTCCTCCGTATCAGGAAATAACAAGTGCTTGAGAACAGTTTGAAAATCAAGCAATTTTAAAGTTTTTTTATTATTATATTGTATTTTCACCTAACACCTAGACTCATAATGTCCATAAAGAACTTGAAAATCATCTAATTTAATAGGTCTTTGTTATAGAGTACATTATTCAGTTATGATTACATCACCAGAGAAGCAGCCAGAGACCTGTGTTGCAATTTTAGATGCATGATGACTTGAAAGAGGATGAGACATTCTAGTTCTC